CCCCCCATGACCGGGCCACACGGGAGTCACTTGTGGGCCAAATGTGGCCTGTGGGCCTTGAGTTTGACACGCGGTTTAAAACATTTGCACGGTACTATAGCTATGAAGTTCTTGTGCAATATGTATAATCAACCAAAAGTCTTTTTGCCAGTCTCACACTTGAGATGTTCTCAATGATGGTTTGTTGTGTGCTGATTGGATGAGTGTGTCATTAACGAGGAGGCGTGTGTTAACAGCAGACATTTAAATAATGCTTGGTGTGCGACACTTGATTGAACATCAGGTGTCCTGGTGGAGACGCTGACTGGGATATTTATCAACTTAACGCTTTATCAGTGTGAGTACTTCTTTAAATTTAAAACTACATGTAAATCTAAATATATTTATAATGTGATATTTACAACTACAATGTGTATTTCAGTTATGTCCTGAATGTAATGCTTTTTCACTTGTTCAATAATAAATTTAGTTAGAAACAAAAATGACAGTTTGCTGTTTTTAGAACTTGCTTCCTGTGTTTCAGATGTGTTTTTATCATTCAGATGTAATCAACAGGGTTTTATCACGTTTGTCCAAGCCCACCCACACAGTTTCACTACTGCCCACCACAGCTGTTTGGTATCTAATCTTAGGAATGATGTCTCAGCTTTATCAGGTGTCTCACTTGGATCTTGTCACACCAGCCTGCAAAGTAGTGGAATGTCTGAATAGACATGCCCACATGAGTCTTCAGGGCCAGAGTGTAAACAGCTCCAGAGTCCATGCTCTCAATGGTAGCCAGCTCCTCCTGGTGTTGCTCCATGAGGTCAGCCAGTCTGAAAACACAGCAGTATGTTGTTTACTTCATTAGTTTTAGTTTGTGAGTTTCTGTAGAACAAGTGTGTACACTGAGCGTTACAGTAGCAGAATACCACAGTACCAGAGTACCACAGTACTACAGTTAGCCAAAAGGTTGATTTTAATGAATATTGTCTTTGTATTGATGTTACAAATTCACCCTTAAACAAAGTACTAAATTATAACATCAACAAATTAACTTGTTCCTGCTCTCGGAGGAGTAAGACGCTTTTCCCCTCTCTCCTGCCCTTCCTTATCTTCCCTGCTTTGCTGCTCGGAGCCTTCTCTACGTTTTCATCCAAAACCAAAAATTATGAATATTTTAATTTTTATGGATTTGGTTAGCTGGTCTCTTAATAAATTTTTGGAACAAAGTTTTTTCTTCCATGGGAGGACATTGTCAAAGGTGGGACCTCTGTTCTGCTCTGTTCTGGATATATATTTGGACTCCGATCACTGGATTCTACAGATTGGCTTGGTGGTCTCCTGGTGTTCTTCAAAACATCGTCGGTGGCTTTTCATTTCCTGGCTGCCTGACCAATATGAAGGATTGCCGTTCTATTAGCACTCAGACTTTAGCCTTGTGCAAGCTGGAGTTGGTCTGCAAGCGGTTCTGCTGAGGGTTGTGGGCCGGCTGTGGTTCCTGGACTTTGCTGGCCAAATGGAATTGATCTTGGAGAAGCTGATAGATCAGCTTGGCAGAATTTGTCCACACTATTTGTCTGATTGGATTTGCCACATTGATTTGTACCAGCGGATCGTCTGCCTGCCCAAAAACACTTATTCTGTTCCCAAACAACTGATTACAGAATTTGGCTCTCCTACATGGCCTTGAGCTGTGGAACTAAATCTTCCTGGATGGTTACGTCGACTGAGGGTCTGCCCCAACCCACCCCCACCCCACCTCCTGTCACATTGTTGATATAATATTGTAGTGGTCACCTAGGGGAGGAATAAACGTTCCACCTGCCTTTGACCTTGACCACGGAAGGCCTCCTTTAAAGAACAGAACTCTGCTCGAATTATAGTTATAACATGTTTTCTTAAACAATAAAGAGACATTTTATTTCATTTTATTTTTTTAATCGAGATAATAAACAAAATAATAATGTTCTTCATATGTTTGATTTATATTTTTTAACTAAAAGTTATCTCTTAACTAAAAGTGATCATTTTATAAATCAAAGTTACATACTTTAATGAATGACAAGTTATTTTCTTTCATTATAACTCAGAAAAAAACAGAAAAAGATATTGTTCCAATGTTTCTTTATTTGTGTGTTTTAATCAACTGTTAATTGAATATAAGGTGATTAAATGTTTTCTGTTTTATTTTCAATTCAACTAAACAATAATTATTTTCTAGTTTACTATGTTTTACTATGAAAAATGTATGATTGTTGTGCTTAAGTTTAAACAAAATCTTAAGTTTATGTTATTTTGAAAAGTTCATGTTTGGTTCATTTTCAAGTCTTAAAACCTGCCAAGGTTTTAGCTGTTTTAACAGGTGTTGTTTTTGCTGACTGAGGCAGTATTCACCAGACCAGTGGAACTCTCCCAGACTAAACTTTACCTCCATCTTTTAATAACAGCTTCAAGGCCATGCCCGATGGTACCCTCTTTTCTCTCTCCCTCCTTTAGTACTAACAACGGGTGAGCCTCCCCAAACAGTCTCCATCTTCTCTTTGAAGAGAGAAGAGCTGAGATTTTCCTTCTCAGGAAAAACCAGCGTTCAGGTGATAAGATTTCAGCTCATTTTGCCAAGGAGCAATCTTATCTCCCAGTCCATGACACCTCCAGTTGTGGACCAGCAAACTCCAGGAAGTTTCATTCAGAACTTCTGTGAGATGCTTTTATTTTGATCTGAGTCGGTTGCGACTCTCCACGCATGAAGCCAAGAGACCACTAGACCCGAGCTAATCAACTCCTTGAAGTCTGGCAGCCTGGCCGGTTCTGGAATTTCAAAACGGATCCCAAACCTGACCCGGGTCAACTTCCATCACGCTTAACCTGACTAGAAGTCTGCAAAGGTAAAGCTGAACATGGTTGATTAAGAGAGCGTCTGAGTCCGGCTGTGCCGAACGAGACTTCCCAAAGCCTTCTGACTCCTCACATTGATAAGATTAAGTTCCCCTTACTTAATAACCTTTTACTCTCTAAATTCTTAAATCTTTCCCATATCCTGTCAGAAATCTTTAAGAATAAGTGCCTCAACAGTGGATTATTTAACATCTAAAGCCAAACGTTGTTGTTCCTGATAAAGTTGTCAAAATAAAGAGATTTAACACGTTCGCGAGTTAAATGTTATTGATTTCAACTTTAATAAACATCTGATCATCCCTCAATGAGTCTTGTACATAAGTAATTGTTTTTGTAAATAAATATTATTTATTTTTGAAAAAACTTTACTGACTATGTCACTCATTGGTTTAATTTCCTGATAATTACACAGAAAAGGTATTATTATCTGTATTAAATAACTCTCATTTCCTCATAACTTAAGTTATGAGAAGGATGTAGACTATAAATCTCTACAATATGATGTTTTGTTTTGTTTTTTTCCTCATCTTCCCTTGTGTGGTTTTTAGTTTTTCTTTTAAGGGTAGCACCTCCTCATGATGTCTTCATGAAGATGATCCTTGCTCTGTGCAGGGTCTGTGGCTGCATGACCCAGAGCACCTGTTCTCCTATGTTTGTTCTGTCTTCTTCTGAATGGGTGTTCTGAACTGTAACTTCATTGTGCTCTGTGCAATGACAATAAAGGTCTGTCTAATCTAATCTAATCTATTCATACTTTAAAGGCGTTCTAAATATGACAACCCAACAATTCCTTAAAAGCTAAACACAGGAGAAAAAATACACATACACACAAAATACTCCATTTAAATAAAATAATCCAATTGTAAAAAATATATTAATAAGAATCAGGTTAATAAAATGTGCAGGTAGCTCTGGTTTTTCAAGGCAAAAGGTGCTCACATCCAGAGACAATGGAGAACTTATAAGATACAGTATTTCATTACTAATTAAAAAAAAGACAATATTATTTTAACCAAACCAATGATTAGCACTTATTAATATTTCATTTTATTAGTCATTTATATTTGTATATAAAGTTTGCTTTGTTTTTTTTAAGGAAAATGAATAAATAGATAAATTGTACTCTACAGTGTTTTGCAAAAACCCTCATTTAGTAGTTATCACACCACTTCTAGGGAAAGCTGGTGATTTAAACTGAAGCTACATGTTATATAGGACATGAGACTCTGCTCTTACTTATAAAGGAGTCTGCCTCTGTCTCTTGGGTTCATCTTGCCCCACTCTCCTTGTTCAAACGCCTCCTTAGCAGCAGCCACTGCCCTGTCCACATCACTGAGCTGAGCCAGGGACACATCACAGATAGGCTGCAGAAAGACAGACAGCAGATACATTAATACAACAACAATAGGACTGATAGGCCCAGGTGAAAGTGAACAGCTGATGCATGTGTTTAAACAGAGTTTCTTTTTAAAACATAAAAGAAATAAAATGTGTTAAGTACCCAGTTTCACAGTAAGCAAAAATGTTTCCATTGTTGTGTTTGTTCTATCATCCATTATCTTCCACCATTTGTTCTGGAGTCAAGGGCCAGCAGGTGGAGCGGGGAGGTCCAGACCTCTCAGCCACCTCTTCCAGCTCTTCTGGAGAACCCTGAAGAGTTCTTAGGCCAGCTGAGGACTCTCTAGTGAATTCTGAGTCTTCACCCAGGTCGCCTTTCCAGACGCCAGAACCCCCTTAACTGGCTCTCGATGTGAGAGCTGAACTGCTCACCCTGCCTCTAAGGGAGAGTCCAGCTACCCTGCAGAGAAAACTCAATTCAACTCCTTTTATATCCACAGTTGCCTTTGTCTTCTACGTAGTTCTTCTGGGATTTCTCCCATAGACAAGGATTTCTTCGGGAGAATTTCATCCGGGCCAATCAGAGAACAGAACATCAATTTTCTGCACAGTGTCTGCGTGTAGTTTATTTTACCTGGACCAATCAGTAAACAGAAGGAGGAGTTTTGAACGACGTTGATTTTCTGCGGAGTGTCTGCTAGTTAGTTTAGCATACAGCAGTGGAGGAAGTGAATGAAGCCAGTCTGTGTTGATAAAGTTAGATTTATACTCGACGCGTCGCGCAGGGCACGAGGGTGCGTGCTCCAAAATTGACACAATAGAGCCGTCCTGCCCCTGCGTGTTGGCCCTGCACTCCGTTTTGGCGCGTGTTGTGCACCTTCGAGTTTTTGAAACTCCACAAAGGCTAGTGCGCGTGCCGTTGACAATAAACACGGAGCTGCTCTTGCCAAATGTATCCAGATGTATCAGCATTTGGATCATAAAGATGTTCAAATGGCACAGAATGTTTGGAAGCAGATCGCTGAAATGTTGCAGAAAGATGAATCTGTGTGCAGAAAGGCTTGGAAGAATGAATTGCATGTTCTGGTAATGTATGAAGTAAATTTACTTATCTATCAGGGTCAACATGGCTACCACAAGAGTGCCGCCTTTTTTTTTTCAAAATCAAAGCACACAATATAAAACTCTATTGCAGGCGGCTATAAAACCCGGTGCTGAGCTTCCAGGACCGGTTTCACCTGATCAGATCTGTTCCTTTTATTGCCTGGAACAGATCCATCAGGTGGGTTTCTGAATTTTATGCATTATTGCAGAAATATCGCCCACCAGTGGTTCAGGGGGCAGGCTGTTATAAAACCCGGTGCTGAGCTTCCAGGACCGGTTTCACCTGACCAAATCTGTTCCTTTTATTGCCTGGAACAGATCCATCAGGTGGGTTTCTGAATTTTATGCCTTTTTGCAGAAATATCGCCCGCCAGGGGTTTCTGGCAAAATCTGGGCGGGAGAGTGGGTGCTGGACGTAGGACCACGGTTCCACCTCACTGGATCTCTTCCTTTTATTCCCCTGCATCAGCACAAGCAGCCCCTGCTGGAAATCAGCAGTTTCACCCGCCGGAGCTCGCCCAACGACCTTTGATCGCTTATATCTCCACGTGGGAACATCCAAGGAACTTGCAACCACCTCCAGGTTGTAGAGGAGGACTGTAGCTTTCCAAAATCATCTCACTTTCCCGGATCCGATGCTCAGAGCCCGCGGGAGAAGCAAACGAAGGTTGAAATTTCCTCCCAAAAATGCGCGTAAAATGCACTAAATCGCGGGTAATTTGCTTATAGTTCTGCGGGGCAACGTCACAGAGACTCCATTCAAGTATCAGCTTGTAGGCTAGAGCCAGAGCTTTAAAACACAACCAGTCACTCTGGGATCCGATAATCCTAGCCCGGGGAGGGGGGCTAAAACCACCCCGGCGGAGGTCTGATGGTGCGTAATTTTGGAGGTTTTTCACTTATATCTCCGCGGGGGAACATCACAGGGACTTCATTCAACTTTCACCGTAGGGCAGAACAAGAGCTTTCAAACAAGACCAGCCAATCCGGGATGCAATGCTCAAAGCTGGCGCTAGAGGCAGCAAGGTTGCGCTGCGCGGGCACCTGGGAATCAGCTGGGCACCCCCTGAGCTACAGAGTTAAAATCAGAGACAAAATGGGCTTGGAAGAACTTCAAACCTATTTTTCTAAATATTATACTTTAATAAATCAAATTTGATATAAACTCTTAAATACATCCATCCATTATCTTGATCCGCTTCTTCCTTTCTGGGTCACTGGAGCCCACAACCAGCAGTCACAGTGCGAGGGGCGGGGTACACTAGGACAGGTCTCCAGTCCATCACAGGGACACAAACAAACAAGACAACCATTCACTCTCTCACTTACACCTAGGGACAATTTAGAGTCATCAGTTAACCTAACAGTCATGTTTCTGGACTGTGAGAGGAAGCTGGAGTACCCAGAGAAAACCCACACAAGCACGGAGAGAACACTCAGGTCCACGGGCCAGGATTTGAACTGGCGACCTTCTTGCTGAGAGGGAACTGTTCTGCCAATGATCCACCGTGCTGTACCTGTTTTAGTTGTGTAAGCCTAGCTGTACATCATCAACCTGACACCATGTTGAACAGTTATTTTCTTTAAGTTGAATAAAATACTTGGAGAAAGAAGAAAATCTGTCTTCATATTTTACTCATCAGGTTCAGTCTTTGTTCTTCTACAGCTTCCCAGCATGTCCTGAAAGTTCAGACCAAACCCTGTGAAACCTGTCTATCTTTGAGTACTTTATGAACAAAGGTGTAAGAACTGAGGAGTCAAGCATTACTGCACTCCAAGCAGTCCTTTGCAATATAACTATTGTGCACAGTGATTTTGTGATGATGATATTTTCACAACACACAGAATTGTGCTGCCCTATTAAAGATTTTTTGTTGCTGATGCCCATAACACTGTTTTTCCAAGAAACATTTGAAAAAAGAAAAAAGTAAAAGATCAAAACGCATATTGTGAATGCTTTGCAGTGTAGTAAATTTCTGAATTATTTCTAAACAGACTGTTTTTGTATCTGTCATGTTTCCAATATTATGTACCCCCAATAGTTAACTCATTCCTACACCCTTGTTTGAGTCACAGAGGGAAATTCCAAAACTTTCATTAACATAATATTAACAAACACATTAATCTGATTAAGTAAACTCACTGAACTCATCAAATAAACCACTTAAATTATCATTGTAACATTAAATAAATACATTAAACTCATGAATTAAATAATTAAGTCTTGTTAAATAAGCTAAGGTTATTAAATATGGGGCGCCAAGTGTAAAATGAAATGTTAAAAAATGTCACTGACATTTTATTATTTAGCTCACTTTTCTTACATTTATATCCTAAATCGAAATGTTTAAATTTAAATGTAACAGTTACACCTTAAATGTAGAAGTTCAGATTTAGGTATTTTGGAATGGAAAACAGTCTTTGCTGTTGGTGCTCGGCTCGTGTTATGACATCATTATCCTGAGACAATAGCAACCGCTAGCACTTGATCTGTTCCGTCAGCTCATTTGCGTATGTGCTAAAAGATATACTTTTGGGTTACCGGTTAATGCGCTTGATTTAGCACAAAATACTGAAATAACTTTTTCCATTCAGCGGGTAAAATAAGTATTGAACACGTCAACATTTTTCTCAGTAAATATATTACTAGAGGTGCTAATGACATGAAATTTTCACCAGATGT